TTTATTGTTTCACTTGGTAGTCATGGCCCAGAATTTACCCAGATGTCCCACCTACATAATCACAAGAAGGCTTAAGACCATTAACAGTTAGTTTACTGATTCATTCAGAAGAGAATTTTTAGATGAACTGAATCTGCAGGATTACTAAGCAAGTGCTGACCACCCCACTGGTCATGAGAATGCCCATACATTTTCAGAATGCCAGAACTTTACCTCAGACAAGTTTTGAGCTCCAAGGTTCCCTCCAGGCAGGACCACAACATCATAAGGCCCCTAAACAAAGAAAAACTGCTCTGTTGAATAGAGGCTGATACTTACATTACACTGTTTGAAGACCACTACAGCTGATTCAAGCAGAAAGCTAATAAATCTACCTTTTCTTACACTGAATAAAACTTTATAATCAGAAAACCAGTTCCAATTATGAAAAAACCCCACTATTTCCTGTTCCAGGGAAAGCCCACTATCAATTAAGTCTCTCACAGAACTGACTTTTAAGCCTAGTGCCCTTAAAAGCTACAGCAAGCAAGTGACAGCTTTTGTGTTGTAAAGGCAAGTGGTTTTGCTCCAATCTTACTGTACAGGTCTAACATCATTTAACTTCCCATCAGAATTTTTGAGTTGGCCCAGATCACAGTATTTTGCTGAGCTAACAAAATAAAGCTCTGGGACTGATGCTTTGCAAAAACAATCACCTGGGCAGAGTTAAGAAATCTGTCTGAACCTAGCAGGCTATGAAACAGGATATCACTGAAGGGAGGCACAGTGGGATGTGCAGTTCTGTAACTCACTGCTACACAGAGTTAATACATACAAAATGCAACATCTGTCCAAAGATAATGCATAGGCTTTCCAAATTCTCCTCAGAAACTGTGAGAAAGATTATGATGGCCATTATATCACAGAAGGGTGATGACCAACCTCTTTTCTGGCATCTTCAAGACTGGCATCAGGGCAAATGAAGACATCTCGACTGCACTGCACTGGTTCTTTTCCTGTTAGGCCTGCAACAGTCACCTTGATCTAATAGGAGAAGAAATATATTATTACAAAACGAGAATTTGGTGTATTTTTCTTATATGTTAGTACACAGAACAAGCAAAGCTGTACTGAGAGCTTGTTCCTCTTAGGAGAGCCAAGATGGGGAGCACATGGAATGACAAAGGTGGTGGGAGAAGGTAATTTTTGTTTCAGTCATTTCTACGTAAGTGGTGTGTTTAATTAAAGTATTATTTTCATTCCTAATGAGATGATAACAGTGTGCTACTATAACTGCAAGAGTAACAAAGTGAGGAATCCCAACAGCCAGAACTGTAGTTAATAACTGAATTTCAAAAGTAGCTCAAGAAAAGCTATTCAATGTCATGAGAGGTAATGTACTGAGCTTTTCAGACCCCTACAAAAGAGGCACTTCCAGTTACTATACATGGAAGTAGCTGTGTTTTCTGACAGAGTAAGATTTACTTGAAACACTTGCTCTAGTCCACATTAGACTTGTATTTTGAAAGGTTACCAACAAATGTCAGCTGTCAGGCATCCTCATTAGGTGCACGGCACAAATATTTGTTAGCAGTAAGGTGATCAGGGTAAATTTTCACTTCACACAACAGACCACACACTGAATTCCTGGCAATGAACATCAGCTTGAGGCAATGACTTCCCCTTGACCAAGCACTCACAAAGATTGCTCACTGTCTGCATACTCACCCCTGCTCTTCTCATAACATCAGTGGGGATTACAGTTTCCATCTCCTCTGCCCCTTTAGCCAGAATCACCAATGCTCTCTTTGAGGCCATGTCTTGAGGGGCTGCTGTCAGGGAGATGGTTGTGAAGGAAGTGGCTGAGGGGGGTAGAAAGACAATGTGGTTAGAAGCCAAATCCCCTTGTATGAATCTTTCCCTATGTTGAAATTAAACAGTAATTTGTGCTTTTGCACGTTCTTTCACTTGAACCACCTCAAAATGGTTCACTAGCTTCAATCAATATTCACAGCAATCCTATTTACCTAATGAGTCTATTAAAAAGAATGCATTATGATATCAAAAGATTAAGGTACTTGTGCAAGGGAGAAGCACAGGACATCAGCAGCAGAAAAGGAAGCAGCCTGGCCTAATCAAGACTTTATATGACCTGTGTCTGCCAGAGAGAGGGGGTCAGGGTGGGCGGCAGAGCTGTTTTCAATTCGCACACCCTCACTCATTCCGAGACGACTGACTCCTACCCAGGTCAGTGCTTACAGAAAGGGCTTGCATGAGCTCTGACCTCATGTCTGGTTTTTAGTTTCCACACAGCATGCTTCATGAGGAGTTTCCTGTGACTTAACAGTGACTCGACCAGTGCCCCTGCAAAATCTCACCAACAGATTTTCTGGGTTATTTTGCAACTTTGTGGGGGAAGAAACACATGTGCACATGTGTGATGGGGGAGCAGACCACAGAATTTAGCAAATGGAACAAACCAGGTTTAAGACTTTTTTTTTTTTTTTAGCTTCTAAGTTCAAGCTGAGCTGAATGGCCAAATTTCCATTTGAAGGTTAAGTTAAAATAACTTTACATCATGTAAAATACTCATTAACTCATACAGGTCTGAGAGAAGTCACTGAAAGCATTTGTGATGTGAGAAGGCATTTCACAGGTTACTGCTCAACAAGACAGAGATTTTTGTCCTGTGCAGGGACCTTCCATCTAGAGCTGCATGTAGTACCTGGGAGCTCTTTATAAAATGATGCACGTTTAGGTGCCTACACAAAATAAAATCATCCTCACCCTGCTTCAACTTCATCTGTTTTCAGGTTTGTTCCCTACTCGAAGCCTCCTTTAGAATGTAAATTCTAGAATGAAGTAATATACAGCACAACATCCCACAGAATGCTGAACCAGCCCAAGCACAATAATTCACTGTGTCAAATCCTACTTTTAGGGCAGCTTTATGTACTGTCAATGCAAAGCCCACTGATCAAGTACATCCAAATCACAAGTATTAGTAATAACTTCAGGACAACCTAGAGCTTCTTAATAGCTTGTCTTGAGGGTACACATTGATTCTGCAAAATTTTCATATGAATTTGACTAGCAAAAAATTACCTGAACAGCCACCATGCAGAAATGCTGCATTTGCTTTTTATTGAAGATTCTAGATTACAGTTTGCATCCCTGTCTTTCATTAATTCTTTATGAAAACAGGCATCCTGAAACCTTTACTTTCTCCTAGTTTTGCAAAATGCAGTCTCTCCATAGTGCCTTTAGATGATGTACAACACTGCCAAATTCTTGAGCATTAACACTGTTCTTCATGTGGGTGCATATGTAAGTAGCTGTCCCACTACTATAGAAAGACTGTTTTTAAGAAGGCAGAACTAAGTTACACAGATGTAACAGCAACTTCATTTAACAAGTCATTTAACAAGCTACCTACACATAATAAATGCCAGTCTCTCATCTGCTCCTCAATGCCAGCTAAGGCCGCCTCAAACCTATCAGCCAAACGTATTGCCCTGCGTGGGTACACGTGCCTTTCTGGGGATGGTGACTGAATCAGAAACTCTAACATGGGTACCTTTAAAAAAAAAAAATCACACCCTTCAGTGCCCCTACCACAGAGCCCGCTATTCACAGGCAGGGGACGGCTGCTCGCCAGCGCAGCCAGCCCGGGTGGACAGGCCGCATCCCTGTTTTCATCTGCTCCTTTCGGGACACGGCGCCATTCCACGCAGCAGGGACGGCACAAGGCCGTGCCCGGGCCGAGGCCGCCTCACGGCCACGGCGGGGGACTCGGGGCCTGGAACCGAGCT